ACCCGTGTGTACCTGCAACAATTTGGAACTGTTGAACACGCTGTCCATTTTGGTCTTTTAATGCACCTACCCCTCAAACCATTTTCTTTCAGCCACTTTCAGCGTTATGCATTTTCAGCCGCTTGTGCAGTGCGAGTGAAACAATGTTTAACACTTCAAGTCACCGGACCCTTTCACCTTGCTGTTCCATCGCCTTCCTTCCCATCGTGGCAATTGAACTAACTGAAAACCCAAGTTCGAAGTGTGACAGAGTCTTACTTCTTTTTTGCGTATGACGTGTGTCAATGCCACCACAGGTTCAGCATTTTTGATGCCACACGTTTTATCGCCGGTTCAGTCTTACGGTTGACGTCGGCTCAGGTTTAGCCAGTGCCACCACGGTTTTTGTTCATACACACAGACACTGACCCTTTGGGAGGTGTTGGCACGATATCTTCTACAAGTGGACACAGAAGATGAGGCAGGTTGACACCCAAAGCAGTTTGACGAGTGGATAAACCATGATAAACCACTTCGGTGGGAAGATTTGTTTGCAGATTGTTTAAACCGATGCATCTTTGCAACATGTATGATAGCTAGACCCAAAACAAGGCAGATTAGTTCGCCCGACGAGGTTTGCTTCTGCGTCGTTCGCTTGAGCCATCGCGTGAGGATCCATTGATGCAGACACCCGGGCTGGTGACTGCTGCGCATGTGGGGCATTTGGGGTTGGTGAAGATCCTCCTCGAAGCCGGTGCTCCCAGGCTGGCGGCTTCTAGCAGGAAGTGCCGAGCCGAGCGTAGCTGTATGGGAGAGGGGAATGAGATTGGAATGAAGCTGAGGAAGAGAAGCAGAAGCTCCGTTTCTGGCATGATGGATCTGATGGGTTGCATCCGCTTTATCTCCTGAGAGGATAGAAGTGGAGCGTTGGACTCCCACTCAAAGTCTGCGTTCATCCACCAAAGGGCTTATGTTCTCTGCGTCCCAGCACAAACTTCGTCAAGTTGTCGCTTTGCATGCTGTTGTAAACGTTTTTGGTACAAAGTCAATGATGTAGTCTGATAGTGTTTGTTGTTTGGCTTGAACGAATATCCAGCGACCGCTTCTTCTACTCTCTGGAGTAGACACTGGGACCTGGGTGCTTCTTGCTTTCAGCGGCTCTGCTGAAGCGTGCAATTCCCTGCTCTGCCTTCGTCATCACGCAGCGTCGACGTCGCCAGGGACAAGGCTGACCAGTTTGGGCGGAGCCCACTCTTCATTGCAGCAGGGTTTCTTGGCAGGTCGCAACTGGAAGACCGGGATTTGGTGTGAAAGATCCGCATGTTTACTGGTGGCAGGGCAACCACCCCCATGCCGAAGCCGTTGCATCAGGCCAGGTTCCAGAGTCCAGGTGAGACCACGAAAGCCAAGAGGCAAAGAGGAGCATGATGGAACTTTTGGTCTCCGCTTCCTTGTTCATCCAGAGTCCAACACTGTTTGATTAAACCACCATCCACTGGGTTGTTTACGGTGGGAGGGTCTACCGGCTAGTCTACCGTGGTTTGCCAAAAGTATTGGTTTCCTCAGCTTGCACAGGATCATGCCCAGAGCGACATGTCAAAACATGCTGATTGATCTACAGTCTACAGTCTACAGTCATTCCAACCAAGGAATGGCCATTTGGAAATGGTGGAAACTCTCCTGCCTCTTGGAAAAAGAACTGGAGGGGGGAGGCCATCGCTATTAGGTTGGAGGCGATTGCTAGTAGGTTGAGGCCATCGCTATTAGGTTGGAGGCCATCGCAATTAGGTTGGAGGCCATGGCTTATTAGGTTGGAGGCCATTGCTATTGGGTTGGTGGCCATGGCTAATAGGTTTGAGGCCATTGCTACTGGGTTGAAGGCCATTGTTATTAAATAGGTTGGAGGCGATGGCTATTAGGTTGGAGGCCATTGCTATTAGATTGGAGGCCATCGCAAATAGGTTCCAGGCTATTGCTATTAGGTTGGAGGCCATCGCTATTAGGTTGTTTGTAATGAGTCAATTGATAAGCCCTGAGCCCTAGACATTTTTTTGGGGCTTCATCAAAAGTAGGTAGTAGGGGGTAGGTGGTAGTAGTAGTAGTAGCAGTAGTAGTAGCTGCTACTACTACTGCTACTACTACTACTACGAAAAATTGACCTGGTTGTGGGCTCGGATTAACTGGGGGGGGGGTTCTGGTACCCAACTAGACCATTAGGGGTGTATAAGCCACCAATACAATTTTTTTGATTTGGGCAATTTCCGGTGGTTTTGTGGGCTCGGATTAACTAGGGGAGGTTTATTAATCGTGACTTTACATTAGGTTGGAGGGGAGTTTGTTCAACTTTTATTTGCATGATCTGAACAAAGCCTCTCACTTTGATCAACATCGGACAGCCAGATTTGGACATTTAAAAGTCATAGTCAGGTGACTGTCATATGGGAGTTCATTCCATGTCATTCCCCCTCTCCAATCACTGGGTCACACCAGCCAAGGTCAGCCAGGGCCGTCCTCAATGCCACCGATCGTTTCAGCCAGACGCCGCTAGCGACTTGGGACACAGGAACGCGATTTTCTTTGGTTTTGTCATCATGGACCCTAGTGGATCTGACTTTCGAGTAGATGCGGCACAAAAGGCTATGGGTAGACATATATGGTCATTCCCATGGTGCCATGGTGTTCTCGTCATCAACAGGAAACTTCAAATCACGGTTATGACTCAACGGGGCACCTCATCCCAGGACGGTCGAACTTGGAGTCTGCCATGGTGCCTATCTGCTGTTGAGGGGTTGAGTAGAACCATGCCCTCCTGAGGTTCGGCAAAGAAACATCCCAAAAAGAGCATCATAGCATATCATAGCCATGTATGTAGCACAATGGGTTTGATTTAATGATTTATCTGAACCATGTGCTTGCCATGTTTGATTTGGAACTTAAGCAACCCGAGTTAGTTCTTTGCATGTCGAATCATGGGCATATGCGGCCCGACTTCCTCAGAGGTGAGCGCTGTCCACTTCGGCTGCGAGCGTGTGGTGCGTTGCCTATTGGAGGCTAAGGCTGCCTGGGACAAGGCAGGTCATGGGGCAGTGCGTTGACAAGACAGATTTGGTGAGTCATCGAGAGAAGGACGCTTTTCAACCCGCATGCACGAAAAAACAGAACGCCGACTCACGTAATCTGCTACATTATTTTCATGTAGACTCATGTGTTTGGTTTCACTCGTTGGACATTTCGCCTCACGCGCCTTTCTCGAAGTCGCCGCACGGCGTTGCACTGATCCGTTTGTTCTTCCGATGGTTCGGCTGAGGCAGACCAGCATGGACATTCGCCCCTCTTCATCGCTGCGGGGAAAGGCAACTTGAAGGCTTCGACTTAAGAGGAAACTTCGACCTGAAGTGAAATGACATGAAATGAGGAGGGGAATGAACTCGGTGAGATAGGGGTTGCAGTCCGAGATTGCCCCCCTCAGGCCACAGAGCGATCACATTACTTTTTCCTGTCTTTTTTCTTTCTTTCTGTTAATTTAATTCTAATGGCTTTTTGTTACTACTAGTAAGGCACTTGTTACTACTAGCGTGGCACTTGTTACTAGTAGTAACAAGAAGCTACTATGCCGAAGAATCATCATCCGAAGGTGGTGCGAGCCTTGCTGGATTCCTCGGCTGACAAAGATCAGGCAGAGCGGACGGACGTAAAGAGATGATGTGGGTTGAGGACTCAAAGTGTCCCGCGGGTGTTTGCAGGATCCCTCCAAAGGAATTGTGGGAGATATCCCGTGATCATCCTCTTATTTGCTAGCAGGTTGGAGGCCGTCGCTATTAGGTTGGAGGCCATCACTCTTAGTTTGGAGGCGCTACTGGGGTGGAGGCCATCGCTACTAGGTTGGAGGCCATTGCTATTGGGTTGCAGTCATGTAAATTGTTAGTGTTTGGCTGGCCTTGAGCTCCGAATCAGAGGATCTGGGGATCATTCGCACATTTCAACCCCCATATGAACTGGATACTCAAGACATGAATGCCATCCTTAATAGGAGGTTGTGTGTGCCGGGGTGAAAGGCCAACATGTTGGCAAGGTATCAGAGTTGCAGGACTAGCTTGTATTGAGACAGCACGTGTGTTTGGTCTCTAACTTCATCTAACTTCCGCGGAAGATCGCTCGCTTCACGGGTTCTTTGCTGCCGAGATCTTGATGTTTCCCACGGCTGATGTTCCGACGTTCACCACCGTTGGTGCTGACGTCGTGTCCTAACCGTCGCCACAGCCCGGACCGTCGTGAATTCACGCGGCCTGCATCCTTGGACGTAGGAGGGTGAAGCAGCGAAGCCACCTCTGCAGCGACGTTTTGGACAGTTTCACCCTGTTCAAAACATTCTTACCAGGGGGGCCAAGGGATCTATGAAGAGCGTTCACTTCTCCATCTATATTTCGTAGGCCATGCGGTTCTACCAGGTTTCACCCTCCCAGCCATTGCCACTACCTGGTAGGCCGACGGTTCAGGGCAGACGCCGCTCTTCATTGCCTGTGACCTGGGCTTTCTGGAGATTGTCCAATGTCTCCTGGGCTCCGCTGCGGACCGCCGGTTGTGATATGTGTGTGTGTGACTTGTGGAATCAGGGAAGGGCCCCAGCTGGCCACGAGTGATTCCAACGAATCATTTCCCCGCATTGCTTGCTGTATAAACACCTACCAGCGGATGGACAATAATGTTAACATCTCATTTATAAACGTCCCCCCCTATGAATATTTTTGTTTTTTCGGGGTAGTCAGAACTCTCAACCTCAATAATGCATATCCCGGCAAGAGACCCCAAACAGTGTGTGTGAGGTCTATATAAGCAGAAAGTCTAGAGATCTAGACGCATTGGGGTCCAGACAGGTGATGGTGGTGATCAAGGTGGGGATCGTGGTGACGGTGGCGGTGGTGGTGAGTGAGTGTGAGTGTGAGTGAGAGTGAGAGTGAGTGTGGGTGAGAGTGAGCGTGGGTGAGAGAGTGTGAGTGTGAGCGAGAGTGGGTGTGAGGGAGTGTGAGTGTGAGTGAGAGCGCGAGTGTGAGTGAGAATGAGTGTGAGTGAGATTGAGTGTGAGTGTGAGTGTGAGAGTGAGAGTGATGAGTGAGTGAGTGAGTGAGTGAGTGAGTGGGTGAGTGGGTGAGTGGGTGAGTGAGTGAGTGAGTGACTGAGTGTGTGAGTGTGAGTGCGAGTGGGAGTGAGTGTGAGTGTGATTGTGAGTGTGAGGGTGATTGTGAGTGTGAGGGTGAGCGTGTGTGAGTGAGAGAGTGGGAGTGAGCATCTGATGCCACGAACTCTGCACGTCGAGGTTCACCAAGTGTTGTGCCTGCCACGAACTGTGCACGTCGAGGTTCACAAAGTGCTGTGCCTGCCACGAGCTCTGCACTTCGAGGTTGACAAAGTGCTGCACCTGCCACGAAATCTACGCGTCGAGGTTCACAAACAAAGTGCTGTACAAGCCACGAAATCTCCAAATGAGCCATATCTCCACAATTCACAATTCACTGCACCTGTCACGAAATCAGAGCTCATCGAAGATCACCACCATGTTCAAAGTACTGTACCTGCCACGAAAACTACATCTCAAAGTAAAACAGCTCCGATCCCTTGCACCTGTCACGAAAAGTTGACTTCGGAGCACCAAAGCACGAGGTTTCCGGCACCACAACGAGAGCGCAGTCGCTAGGAGCACCCGCCGCGGCCACGCAGACTTTGCGAGCCCGAAATGCACTTCAAGGATTTCGAGAGGCATGAATGTGCTGTGAATAGCAGCGAATTAGCCGGACACGCCCGCGCGGCACACCGATCTAAGCACCGTATGAACCCTAGGGGAAAAATCTTTAGAGGGGATTTGTCAGAGGAGCTTTCATTTTGCTTTCATTATTTTCATTCTGCTTTCAGTGCTTTCACCCAAAGACGCAACTAGTATGGCAAAATCCTGGCAGGCCAAAAAGCTCACTGTCGTTGTTGTTGTGGTGCAACGGGGTTGCAGTTTTTGTTTGTACCTTGTTGTTGTTGTTGTTGTTGTTGTTGCTGTTGCATGATAACAATTGACTCAACAATTTGTTTCTTTTATTTGTTAAAAATCAATTTTGGGGTCTGGATGTTGGCACAATTAAAAGTAGTATTGCAAAATCCTCGCAGGCCAAAAAAACCTCCTTATTATTGTCGCATGGTTCATGCATGGCATGCTAACATTAGATGAAAATAGCAAGTTGCTGCAGAGAGCAATGCCTCAGAAATCATAAGAGTTTCCGCGAGCGTCGCATGAGCGTCACATGTGCGTGGCCCGCGCGACAGGATCCGGACAAGGCCACGGTGGTGGGCAATACACCGTTGCTCATCGCGACAGAGCGAAGCCACCCGGAGGTGGTACGATGCTTGTTGGATGCTGGAGCTGACGATACTTTGGCCAACAAGGATGGGCAGGTGGGTGTGAATGGTGGGATGGGTGGAAGGGGGGAAGGCATACTGACTGCAGTCAGATTCCCACAGCTGCAAGCCACCAAATTTTTTGACAAGGAATCAAACTGGACGAAGCTGAGCCAAGCTTGCTGATAGCATTGTTGCCATGAATATGCACAGGTTTCTGGCCGCAGAGACAGATTGTACCCATGACGTGCTGGTGGTTCTTGTGAGAACTTTGCACGGTTCGTGCCCATGGGTCTTGAAATACATGCCTAGTGTAGCCTAGTGGCCTTTTTTGAAGTGATGAAGGTGTGCAAGTAGAGCTGAAGCATTGCAGCTAACGGCATCAACGGTTGCCTTTTCGTGGCCTGGGTGGTTGCAAGTGCTGCTTTGTGTGGGGCATGAAAGTCCTTCCAATCTCTGTTCCGCAAGGCCTGTTCACTGAAGGAGCACTCTTCCAAGTCCACGGCAATGGTAGGGGAGAGGAACCAGCACCAATGCACGAAAGCGCCAACCTGACTGTATGTTGAGATATGTTGAGCGCAGCCTGACTGTGCAGCCAGTTGGTTGCCAGGCGTGTTGGGCTGGCCGCCCACGTACTCCACCCACGTACTCCACCGCGCGGCAATTCTTGACAGCCACGACCCCGAAGCACCTGGAGTGACCATGATTCCTGTTGAAGACGCTGCAGCAGTGATGGGATTTTTTTTGGACATATACCAAACACAGTACCAAACAGTGATTGGACCTTGAAATGTAGAAAACCCTCAGCTCAAAACCCACGTATAAAAAGATTTACCAGAAACACCAAAACCAAACACACCGCTTTTCATCAAGGCATGCCACCAGATTAGACCATCGGACAAGGTTCTTGGAACCCAAAATTGCCTGATCCAGGTTCATGTCTCAACCAGGGTTTGCGAAAACATGCGTTGAGAGTTGAGAGAACCCATCCATTTTTCAAACCGAATGGCAACAACACCGCCATCCATGTTGGAGCTGAAGAACGCCCCCAAGGATGTCCAATCGCCCGAGGTGACCAAATCACGGGTCTGTGGATGGGGCAGCCCAATTGACCACATCGGCACCGCCCTGCTGTTCCATAGTTTCACTCTGACACGACCGGGTGTGTTGCAGGTGCCCATCTCCATGGCCGATCACCGGGGCATTGCTTGGTCATTGATCCAATCCGCGGAGAAGCGGCGCCGCCTCGGGCGACACGCGGAAGACTCATAAATAAGACCCGTGCGAATCTGTGCAGGGTGGGTGCTGGGTTTGGTCAAGCTTGGTCTTTTGCAAAGAATTTGTCGCAGTTTAATCATAAATTGGGTGAACAATGGTGAAGACCTTTGACTTTCGAGGAACATCACTTGGAAGTTCCAAATCGGTTGTTACCGTTTTCGATGCAGTTCCCAACACTCGCTTCATCGATCCCCCGAATACGCTAAGCCTACGGGGTGTGGTAGCCCACAAAAGTGGCCTAAATTTCAGGATCGTCCATGAAAATGCGTTCGTGTGTCTATCATGCGCCCAAACAACAACCTGCATCGTGGAACCATGAGCAAGTCCCACGTGATACCATTGTTCCTGGAGAAAAGAGGAAACGTGGTCGGCTCTCCAAAACAAAAACAAATGGAGGCTCGAAGCCAGGCTGGGCCAGGAGCCATTATTTAATCATTATTTGTCATCTATGAGAGCTGGCATCACTATTTACGTCCAATGTTCTAGTCGGCACTGAGCAACAAACTCTTTGCTTCAACGTATCACAGCAGATCACTTTGATGTGCGCTGAGGCTCCAGTCAGGCGGCATTGCCGGCACTAGCCTGGTCGAAGGCGGGTGCCGAACTTGATCAATCATTGCGCCACGATAAATGGGTGGAAGCCAGCTGTGTCATTTCTTTGGGGATGTCATTCTCCGGCAATTAGCCACTCAATGTTGACCCAGAGTCACCAAATAGATTGATAATAGCATGTTTTTCACTTTTTGAGGGCTTGAGCTTGACAAAAATTAGTAGTAACAAGGTGTATCCCTACTAGTAACATCTAGTAACAAGGACGCTAATTACTAGGAACAAGGAACTTGAGTGCTTGGACTTTACAACCGGTCCTGCCAGATGGCCTGCTCTTGCCGAACGCGAGCATCCGGACCGATGGCGCGCCAGCCCACTTGCCGAACGCCAACGCCGTGTCCGCACCCACCGTTCACTGTTTAGCTAGGACAGTGCTTCCCCTCTTTTAGGTGGAAGGAGTTCCATTGGTTGGGGATTCACTTTTCCATCTGGTTGGGGACATCACAGGAATCACAGGTACGGTGCCGACTGGTGGGTACACAAGCGATAGACCTCAGCCGCCACGCGTTTCAAACAGATTCCGTCAAAGGCTGAAGCGGCGTGAATGTTTGTGTCACATGTGTCACCGAAAGAGTTGCCCACATCAAGAGGTGCTCTCTCGCCCTTGATCCAAAAAGTCATGTTTTCACATTGCCTTAACCCTCAGCCTCTCAAGTTTGCAACAAAGGCTTGCCAACAGATCGGTACTTGCTCTTCTGAAGAGCAGCATGTCTTCTTGTCACCTTCCATATCAGATTGACCTTTTGGATGTTCCTTTTCCACCAAATAATTCTCGGCGAGTTGTCGGGATTTGTGGATCTCACCAGTGAAATGTTCATTTCCAGGTGAAGAGGCTGCGGAGGCTATGGCTGTCGGAACAGCACAGGCAAGGGGTTGGAGCGGCCTTTTACACGAAACACCACAACCTCCAACCTAGTATAGCGATGGCCTCCAACCTAATATAGCAATGGCCTTCAACCTACTAGCCATGGTCTCCAACCTAACAGGGATGGCCTCCAACCTAAAACCGATGGCCTCCAACCTAATATAGCGATGGCCTTCAACCTAGAAGCGGCCAACAAGCAAGTCCTCAACAAGCACATAAAGCTCTTGTGGCCAATCGGATGTAAGACAATGACCTTCCAGATCGCCCAGGAGCTGCCATGGACCACGGAGCTTCCCATTTTGGCCAGGGCCCTGAGCGTTACCTACAAGTCACCACCGGCAGGATAGAATATGAGAGAAAGAACATGTGATACATGTGAAGTCATGCAGTGTTGTTCTCCAACCTACTAGCGATGGCCTCCAACCTAAAAGCGATGGACGCGGCTTGGTCTAGGTTCCTTGGATTTCGTGTTGGTTGTCTCAGTCACGACATTTGTCTCAGTCCGCAAGTCATTGACTGTTGAGGCTTGTACAAATCAGTGGTATAATCCAGAAGGCAGCTGTTCTACGTGGTGTTTCTGTTTAGGGATTCGCCAGTTCCGTGTCGTCAGTCTCAGCGAATGGCTAGGAACCCGTTTTCAGCAGCTGAGACTCGACTCACAAAAACCCGCTCTCAGAAGCCTCCTGATCCTACTGGCTTCTTGCACTAGTAGCTTCTTGTTACTTGTTACTAGTAGTAAGGCCAGGAACCCCTAGTACCGTCCTTGCTCCTAGTAGCGATGCCTTTGTTACTACTAGCTTCTTGTTACTAGTAGTAAGGCCAGGAGCCCCTAGTACCGTCCTTGCTCCTAGTAGCGATGCCTTTGTTACTACTAGCTTCTTGTTACTAGTAGTAAGGCCAGGAGCCCCTAGTAGCGTCCTTGCTCCTAGTAGCGATGCCAGGAGCTACTAGTAACATCCTTGCTACTAGTAGTAATGCCCTTGTTACTAGTAGCGATGCCCTGAAGCCTTGTGATCCTTCCCTTTCATCAGGTGGTGGCTTCCGCTGGTCGTCACCAGCTCTTGGAGCAGACCTTGCGATCCATCGCCGCAGTGCCAGGCGCTGAAAAACAGCGGATCTGAGCGGGTGGGGCCGTGAGGCACGAGGGAAGACTTGTTGAGGATGGAATTGGATGCTTCTGGCTTTTGGTGTACTTTTTGCTCGGAGAATACCACGGACCATATGATCTATATAATTCTATATATGTATTATATAGCAGATGGAGATATATGGAGATATGCTTTGAGGACTTGTCAGTTTGCCTCTTTTCGCAACAACATTGGCCTGTGGCGCCTGCGATGCCAAGCCCGCCGTGTCAAAGGCCACAGTGGCCACAACTTTCAACGAAACGGACACTCGAGCGCTGACCTTTCAGGCTACCGACGGGAGCAGATCTTGGTCTCGCAGGACGCACGGGTCACACATGGCTCGAAGGTGAGGGTGAAAAAGGGGATAAAGTCGAGTTCCGCAACTGCGCAGGATTCCGCAACTGTTTGGTCGGATTCCGCAATTGGGATTCCGCAACTAGGATTCCGAAACTAGGATTCCGCAACTTGGATTCCGCAACTGGGATTCCGCAACTAGGATTCCGCAACTAGGATGCCGAAACTAGGATTCCGCAACTAGGCTTCCGCAACTAGGTTTCTGCAACTGGGATTCTGCAACTGGCGTTCCGCAACTAGGATTCCGCAACATTGTGGATTCCCTCACTAGGATTCCGCAACTTTGTGAATGATGAGGGATGTCGAGATCACACGATGGGGACAAGGGGGGGTTGGGGGTGGGGCGGTTGGGTGGGGGGCTAATGACGTTTGTTTGGATGTGCTTTGAAGGTGATGTCACAGGCACACACGCTATCGCATGATGTGGAGATCACCAGTTGCAAGTCTCAGGCAAATTGCAGAATCTGACTTTCCAGCTTCAGAATTATACAAGTTTCGGAATCCCAGTTTCAGAAACCTAGTTTCAGAACACCAGTTTCAGAATCCTAGTTTCAGAACCCCTGTTTCAGAATATTAGTTTCAGAAGCCAAGTTTCAGAACCCTAGTTTCAGAACCCCAGTTTCAGAACCCTAGTTTCAGAATCCGACCGATTAGTTTCCGAATCCGGCTCTAACCGTGAAAAAGGTGAGAGAGAGAGAGTTCTGTTGTAGGCTCAACAAGCTTCAAGTAGGTTTAATATCCTCGTGCCAATTTCCACTACCAAATGGGTGGCCTCAAGGCCACTACAAAACAGAAAAACGGTGCATTTTGTAGAAATGGACATTTTTGATGTCCATCGCATTCTTTCCTGATTTGCACCCCAAACGTCAGGCAGAACATTTTGTAGAGGGATGTTGCGGGACGTTTTTTTTGGATGACTCTAAACCTCAGGCAATTCATTTTGTAGTAGCTCCAAATCCTACATGTGTTTTTTCCATATAGAAAAGTTAGGGCCCTGGATTTTGTAGCGCGCCATATATCCATTGGTTATTTTTTAGTACTGTGTTTTTGCATGGTACCTTGCATTTTGTAGCGAGGTTGCACACATCGTTCTACAAAATGTCTTGTCCAAGGTCTGTCAAATTGGAAGATGGTTAAATCAAGGAAGGTCACTTGGTGCACCGTGAAAGATGGAACGATCCTGGAGAGGTCGAAGGTTTTTTTTTCCGACACCGATCGGAAGGATGGCGCGGATTCCAGATCTCAATGGGTGTCTTTGGTGGCAGAAGCCGTCGAATCGCAGCTGGTAGGACAACTTTGGTAACACCCTGGAGGGTGAGGAAGATTTGCTCTTGTCAATGAATTCATTTAGAAGCTCTCAATCTCTTAAAGCGCTGCAAGTCATCATTTGTGGGATTCGCAGCTGGCACAGCATTCCTTTCTGATCCATCAAAGCGTGTGCAGCAACGGCATTGGCTTTTGGAGAACAACACTGATTGGGAACGTGCTATGTTGCTTTGTTCTTGATATAGGGATCTATAAGGCCAAAGGTAGTCGGACCATACTATTTTACCTTTGAATTCAGGCCAGGCAAGAACGGGTAGATGGCCCCAAAGATTCCCAAGCCCAATTGTTTGAATGATTCAACGGTGTCCTGTGTGAATTGCATTTTTTCGCATGATTTGCATTCTGTCTCAGCAGCAGTTTTTCTATTCCTTTTCTGCCGGCCACCATATCGCTCCAAGTGCAAGCGCTCTTGGTGAACCAGCTGGTTGGTGGCCATCGCTAGTAGAGTGGAGGCCATGTTTGACGGTGGTGGTCTACGTATTGCTTATCTTGTGGTTTTAAGGTGGCGTGGATTGGCTTTAGGACTTGGTGGAAGCCGCTTTGCGCATGCTTCCCGCAGGTCTGGAAAGTATTCTGAGAGCTTTGCATGAACTGGACGTTTAGTTTTGAGGGAAACACAAGCTGATGAAAGCCAACAACTCGTGTGCTGCGCTCCGCGCAGCTGGCCAAACACTAGAGATCGAGCGAAGGAGATGACATGTGACGCGTGTCAA